GAACGACCCGTTTCCAGTTCTCAGCTCTGGACTGAGGAGCTTCAGGTTCTGAGTCGTCGTTAGTGGGAGAACACCTTGTTTTAACTGGGAGAACCTCGTTTTAACTGGGAGAACCTCGTTTTAACTGGGAGAACCTCGTTTTAACTGGGAGAACCTCGTTTTAACTGGGAGAACCTTGTTTTAACTGGGAGAACCTCATTTTAACTGGGAGAACCTCGTTTTAAAGTTTTAACAAGCTTTGTTTCCTGATGGTTTGTAGATATTTATGAGATTTTCAGGTGTTTTCAGTTTTTTCTGAAGATTTCTGGCGTTTTGAAGACGGAGAGTCGAGAAGAACGGACGTCTTCATGTGACGCTCACGGTTAAAGTTCTGCCAGCAGGAGGTCCAGAACCAGATCCAGTTTCTCTCATTTTGAAGGAACTTCTGTTGTTTTTGTAACTTCAGTTCACATTTGATTCTGTTTCCTGTCGTTTGATGAAAACAAATAAAATCACTGAGACTCATCGTTTCAGCTCGTCTGAGTTATAAAATCAAACTTCACTGAAATAAAAACGTTTCTATTAATTAATTAACGTCGCCGGAGGTCAAAGGTCAATTATCTAAAAAGTTTAATAAAGATTAAATAATTTCAACTACGTTAAAATAAATGTGTGAAATCTTTTTTATCTTGTCACATTGAGATAAAGTTTATTTATGTCTCACATTTAAAACCAGAAATTATCTGCACATAAAAAATGATAAAAGTAAAGTTTTAAATCAAATGCAAAAAAAATAGAAAAACAAAAATGTGTTAAAATATAAAAACTACAGCTGTTTTAGAAACAAACAGTCGAAGACAAACGGAGTTAACTCTGAATTTAAACATTAAATTATAACTTAATAAAATAAACAATAAAATTATAACAATGAAGGATAAAATATAAAAAAATAAAAATCTACATTAAATAAAACCGATGGAAAAAAGTGAATTTAAAACAACTAAAGTTTAAAGATTTTAACATTTCCTTAACTTAAGAACAATATTTTACATTCCATCACCAAAATTATTGGGAAGCTTAATTCATGTCCGTGTGGACAAGTGTCTGTGTGGACGAGTGTCTGTGTGGACAAGTGTCCATTTAGACGAGTGTGTGGGACAAGTGTCCATGTAGACGAGTGTGTGTGTG